GAGCAGAAAGCCTCATCTTTCTCCTGCGGAACTGCTGGTAGTATTGAACTGCTGACCTTGAGGTTAGCAGCCCAACGTGTAACCATTGCACTACCAGAGCTCCTAAGATGGCTTAGGTAGTGTTGTATTAAAATCTTTGTGTAAACTCCAGCAATGTCTGCCATATTTAGCCACAAGTCCACAAGAGCCAAATTATGATCTTGAACATATCCCTCCTTAATGTATAGATACTGTCAAGAACAGATATGATACATTAGATCCAAGTCCTGAAGAATTGTGGGATGACATCAAGAAAATCATACAGGAAGAAAGAAAAGGGTCATTAAAACTACAGGAAAGTAGGAAATGACCAAAATGGATGTCAGAAGAGACTTTGAAACTTGCTCTCTAGAGTAGAGGTGCTAAGGCAAGTGGAAGAAATGAGGAAGCCAAAGAGCTGCCAAAAGAACAAAGAGATCTGTGTTTAAAGAAGTACAACCAGAATTCCCCTTCAAAGCAAGGATGGCCAGACTTTCTCTCTCATACTTCAGACATATTATCAGGAAGAATACTTCAAAGGTCAGCTCGAGAAGACAAAATCAAGTATTGTAATGATATGTGGAAAGACCTAGAGTTAGAAAACCAAAAGGAAAGAGTACACTCAGCATGTCTCAAGCTGAAAGAACTCAAGAACACAATTTAAGCCTTGACTTGTAATATTGAATGATGCAGAAAGCATCAAAAGAAAATGGAAAAAGAATTTGTACCAAAAAGAATTTGTCGATGTTCTACTATTTCAAGAGGTAACATGTCCAAGAGCAAACTGGCTCTGAAGGAAGAAGCCCACAGTGCACTGAAGGCATTGGGAAAGAGCAAAACTCCGGCAAATGAAGGAATGCAAGTTGAAATCTTTCAACAAACTGATGCAGCCATGGAGCTACTCACTTAATCTATGCCAAGAAATTTGGAATACAGCTGCCTGACGAGCTGATTGGAAGTTATCCCTATTGGTGCCCATTCCAAAGAGAGGTGACTAAATGGAATGTGGAAATCAGGCAGTATCATTAATATCATTTGCAAGTAAAAGTTTGCTGAAGATAATTAAAAACGGCTGCAACAGTACATTGACAGGGAACTGCCAGAGATTCAAGCTGGATTCAAGCAAAGATGTGGAATGTGGGATATTATTGCTGAAGTCAGGTGGATCTTGGCTGAAATCAGAGAATACCAGGCAAATGTTTACCTGTGCCTTATTGACTATACAAAGTCTTTCGTGATCAAGATGATTATGGATAACATTGTTAATAATTGGTATTCCAGAATACTTAATTGTTCTCATGAGAAACCTGTGCATAGACCAAGAGGCAGTCATTGGTACAGAATAAGGGGACACTGAATGGTTTGAAATTAGGAAAGTGTGCACCAGGGTTATATTCTTTTATCTTGCTTATTCAATCTGTATAGTGAGAAAATGCCCCGAAAAACTGGATTATATGATGAATGTGGCATCAGGATTGGAGGAATACTCATTACTAATTTGCAATATGTAGATGTTACAACTTTGCTTGCTAAAACTGAAGAGGACTTAAATAAAATACTCACTGATAAAGATCAAAGACCACAGCTTTATATATGGCTTACACCTCAGTGTAAAGAAAACAAAAATCCCCACTACTGCGCCAGTTAATAACATCATGATAAATGGAGAAAAGATTGAAGATGTCAGACTTCATTTTGCTTGGATCCACCTTCAAGTAAGCAGAAGTCAAGGAATCAAAGGACATATATTGCATTAGGCAAATCTGCTACATAAGACTTCCTTAAAGTGTTCAAGATCAAAGACATCAGTTTGAGAACTTAAGGTGCAGCTTACTAAAAGTCAAAGTATTCTCAGTAGCTCTGGTAGCATAGTGGTTGCTAACCTCAGGGTCAACAGTTCAAAACTACCAGCTGTTCTGTGGGAGAAAGATGAGACTTTCTGCTCCTGTAAAGATTTACAGCCTCAGAAACCCTGTACAGGGTTGCTATGAGTCAGAACGGACTCCACGGCACATAACAACAACAACAATATGCATGTGAATATTGAACAGTGAATAAGAAAGACTGTAGAGGAATTGATGCATTTGAGTTATGGTTTTGATGAAGAATATTAAAAGTACTGGACTGCCAGAAGAATAAACAAATCTGTCTTGGAAGAATTTTGACAGAATACTCCATAGAAGTTAGGATGCCAAGTCTCATACTCTGGACTTTTTGTCAAGAGGGACCAGTCCCTGGAGTAGGACATCATGTTTGGTAAAGTAGAGGGCCTACCAAAATAAGGTATCCCTCCAATGAGATAGATTGACACAGTAGCAGCAGCAGTGGGCTCAAGCTTAACCACGATTGTAAGGATGGTGCAGATCCAGGCAGTGTTCTGCCTGTGCATATGGTCACTATGTGTCAGACAGCAGCTAACAACAATATTGCACCAATTACTTTATATCTTCCAAGCTGGGTTAGGCTGATATGTAGGGAACAATAAATGTATATTCAGAATATTAAATGATGATTATAAGCCTTAGAACAACTTATGGCTGCTATCATATTATAAACCCTTTTGGTTGCCAGCCATATGGAAAGAAGTTACTAAGTGCAGATCTATTGTCAGCATGAGCCTTTTTCACATATAAGTGAATATAAAGAGAGGTGAATCTCAAAGAAACAGAAGCTTAATTAAAATTCCTATGTAAGCATGATAAAATGTTAACATGAAGAACAAACAGGTTTTATGATCTGATATTCACGTATTTGGATAAAAATATTCCCTGGATTGTATAAGTCAATTAATCTATTAAGATCCTTAGATGTTCTCTTGTGTATTCTCTTATTAAGCAATAAATATGTATCTTTCACTTAAAAAAAAATTTATGATGTCATTTTATATTCTTACATTTCAAGAAGGGTTTCTGCAGCTTTGTGCTTTACTTCTCTTGGAGAGCTGTACTTTCCCCAACCCATATTTCTCTGAAAACCAGGAATAAAATAGATTCTGAATATGCTTTACTTCTTATTTAAGGGAAATGTTGATAGAGGAAAGTATCTGACCATCTGAGGAAGGAGAGAATGAGTTGAATGGAGTAGAACAGATGAAGATGTAAGAGATTAGAATTTTACTAATAATGTTAACACTGATACCATGAGAAACTGACAAAATAATTGCATTGAATTTTAGTAAAAGCTTATGGTTTGAGAAAATACTGCTTTAACTGATTTCTTTAGGTAAGTGACTAAGAAAAAAACAACAACTGAGTTTTATTTCTCTTTCTTCTAGAATTTTGCATTCTGATCGAGATCCAATTCCAGATGTTCCTGCAGTATATTTTATAATGCCAACTGAAGAAAATATTGACAGATTGTGCCAGGTAATATGAATTCTTATTTCCTTTAATTTGCAAAGAGATTCATAAAAATAATATTAGATACCAAAAATTTACCTTATCTAGTTTCCTACTTTGAGATTTGAGACTGTCTTTAAATTTCAGATAGCCTGAATGATTTAAAATTTTTGGACTGAAGAAAAGATTTGAAATTATATTTGTTAATAAGACTGAGTCTGATGATTGGTAGGAAAGAAAGAAAAAAACAGAAAATCCCTATTAGCTATATGTTAATAGTGTTTTATTTTTCAGAAGTAGTAAAAAGTCTGCGAGTAGAAGGCCCATGCAGGTACAACAGCTCTATGTCACCAAACACTCAGGCTCCTATCTTGTTAATTCACCATCTTTATTTTTTTTTGCTTTTCATTGTCTTACATCATGAAGACTGACTACATTTATATTTCAGGCAATAAGAATGGGAAAAAATGCTGTGCTAGCTTTGACTATTATTTTGTCAAGAACTAAATAAAGTCTTTCCCAGAAATTCCCAGAATACTTCCACTTATGTCACACTGGGTAGAATGAACTACAAGAGAAACTACAAAAGTTAAATTGCCACCCCAAACAAAACCTGGATTATTGTTACAAAGCACAAAAAGAGGAAAGATTATTAGCCAGCAAACAGTTTCTGCCTCAAGTCACAAATATCTTGTTGTTGTTTTCAACTCATAGCAACCCTGTATAGGGTTTTTAAGGAGCAGCTGGTGGGTTTGAACTGCTGATTTTGTAGTTAGCATCCAGTGCTTATCCTGTAGCACCGTGCCAGGAGTTCCTTTACTTATTAATCACTACCAAATAAAATTGCTATTTAAATCATCAGTAAAGGTCATACATTTTGTTTTTTAAGTAGCTTAATGATAGCTAATCTCTTTTACCCTGCGTAGACCCCATTATGCCCTTTTCCAAAAAGTTAACAATTATTGCTCTCTTCCTCCTTCCTTTATTCCCTGACAGCTTTATTGAGATATGGTTTGTGTACAGTACACCCATTTAAAGTGTACAATTCAATGGTTTTAGTATATTCACAGACTTAACCATTGCTACATTTGGATTTAGAACATTTTCATCACCTCGAAAGAAACCTCATACTGTTATCTGTGACCCCATAAATCGTACATGCTGCCCAGCTATAAGCAGCCCACTTAACTTTCTTTCTATAGATGTGCATACTCGAGATATAACATATAAAAGTAATCATGTAATATTTTGCCTTTTTATCTATGTTTTACTTACTGTAATGCTTTCAAGGGGTTCATCCATGTTGTAGCATTTTTCATTACTAAATTCCTTTTTATATAAGTAATAGTCATTTGAGTAAACAACATTTTCTTTATCTATTCTGAAGTTGATGGGCTTTTGGGTTGTTTTCACATTTTGGCTATCATGAATCCTGCTCTGAACATTCATGTGCATGCATATGTTTTTCATAATCTTGAGTTATACCTAGCAGTAGAATTGCTAGGTCAAATGATAACTCCTGCATATAACCTTTTGAGAAACTATTAGATTGTTTTCCAAAGTCACAGCACATCTTACATTTTTGCTAACAGAATACAAGGGTTTAAGTCTTTCCACATCCTCATCAACACTTTTTTTAATTAGCTGTTAATTTTGGTTATAACAGTGGATATAAGGTAATGTCTCATTATGGTTTTGATTTTCATTTTCATAATTAATAATATTAAGCACTGTTTGCTGTGCTTCATGGCCATTTGTATATCTTCTTTGGAGATAGTATGTTCAGGTAGTTTGCCTACTTTTTATTCAGGTACTCTGCCCATTTTTAATTGGTGGTTTATCTTTTTGTTGTTGAGTTGTAACTGTACATTATTAACTAGAGGATGGTGTGGCACTATAGGATAAGCACTGAACTGAAAGGTCAGTGGTTCAAACCCACCAGCCATTCCTCAGAAACCTTATACAGGGTTGGTATGAGTCAGAACCAACTCAATGGTAGTTAACAACAGCAGTAGTCCCTTATGTATATATGATATGCAAATATTTTCTCTAGTTTTATGGCTTGCCTTTTCATTCCATTAATGATATGTTTGAAGTAAGAAATTAAAATTTTTTGATGAACTCCAATTTATCTGTTGTTTCTTTTTTTTGACTTGTGATTTTGGAGTGTATCTAAGGAACCGTTGAGTGTTTTTATCTTGAAAATATGCTCTCTTTTTTTGTTTTCTAATGTTCTTTGTCTATTGAAATGATCATGTAGTTTTGTTTTTATTCTGTTGATATGATGCAATACATGAATTGACTTTAGAATATTAAATAAATCTTGTAATTCTAGGATGAATCCACTTAGTTTGATATATAATTCCTCATATATGTTTATAGATTCAATTTGGGAGTACTTAGCTAAGCATTTTTTGCATCTGTGTTCATAAGAAATACTAGTGTTACAGTTTTCTTGTGATGTTTTTCACTGGTTTTGATGTCAAGGTAGTGCTAGCCTTATAAAATGAATTGGGAATTGTTCCTTCTATTTCTTGGAAGATTTGAGAAGGATTTGTATTTCTTTAAATAGTTGGTAGACCACACCTATGTAGCTACTAAGCTTTGCATTGTGGATAATTTTGTTTTGTTTTTACTAATTCAGCCTCTTTCTACCATTTATCTGTCAGTTTGTCATACTGTAGTGGCTTGTGTGTTGCTGTGATGTTGAAAAGTATGCCACTGTTATTTTAAATATCAGCAGGGTCCTCCATGGTGGGCTGGTTTTAGTGGAGCTTCTAGACTAAGACCAGGAAGAAGGAGAGACGGACCACTTCTGAATGGTTAGCCACTGAAAAATGTATAAAAAGCAGCAGAACATTTTCAGAGGTAGTTCTGGAACATGAGTCTCTTGGGTTGGAAGACACTTACAAAATGATTGGTGGAGACATGCCTCCTCAAAGTAGAGTTGACTTGAGTAAAGTGAATGGAGCAAAGTTTTGGGGATCTTCATCTGCTGATGAGGCACAACTCAAAAAAAGGAAAGACAGTATCCATTAATAATTCAAATACGGAATACATGAAATATGAATCTAGGAAAACTGGACGTCATCAAAAATGAAATGGAAGACATAAAGAGAAAAATGAACAGTATTGGCTATTTTGAATTGCACAAGCATCAAGTTCACTATGCAAGGAATGAAAAATTGAAGAGAAATGATATCACATTCATTGCTAAAAGAAGCATTTTAAGATCTGTTGTGAAGTACAATGCTCTCTGTGATATAATACCCAAATGCCTAAAAGGTAGACCAGTTAATACCACTATTATTCAAATTTGCTCACTTATAACTAAAACTAGTGATGATAAACTTGAAGAATTTTACCAACTTCTTCAGTTGGAAATTGATCAAACATACAGTGACGATTCAGTGGTAATTACTGGTGACTGGAATGTGAACATGGGAACCAAAGATCAGTAGTTGGAAAATAAGGCCTTGTGATAGAAATGTTGCTAGAGATCGTGTGATAAAATTTTGCAAGACCAGCGACTTCTTCATTGCAAATATCTTTTTACAGCAATATAAATGGCAACTATACAGTCGACCTCACCAGATGGAATACACAGTTATCAAATCGACTGCCATCTATAGGAAGAGACACTGGGAAAAGAAAGTGTATCATCAGCCAAAACAAGACTAGGGGCAGACTGTGGAACAGACCATCATTTGCTTATATGCAAGTTTAGGCAGAAATTGAAGAAAATTAAAACAATTTCTTGAGAGCCAAAACATGACCTTAAATATGTCCTGCCTGAATTTAGGATATCTCAAGAACAGATTTGATGCAGTAAACACTAATGATGAAAACCAGAAGAGTTGTGGGATGACATAAAGAATATCATGCAAGAAGAAAGCAAAATGTCATTAGAAAAACAGGAAAGAAAGAAAAGACCAAAGTGGATGTCAAAGAGAGTCTGAACCTTGCCCTTGAGGTTAGAGAAGCTAAAGTGACTGGAAAAAATGATGAAGTAAAAGAGCTGAACAGAATATTTTAAAGAGCAGCTTAAGAAGACAGAGTCAAATTTTATAATGAAATGTGCAAAGACCTGACGTTTAGAATACCAAAAGGGAAAAACACACTCAGCATTTCCTAAGCTGCAAGAACTGAAAAATAAATAAAAATTCATGCTTTGGGTTTCGATATTGAATATTTTCTGGACAAAATAAAATGGAAGGAATACACAGAGTCACAGTATAAAAAGGAATTGGCCGATGTTCAGACATTTCAAGAGATGTCATATGATCAAGAACTGATGATATTGAAGGAGGAATATCATTAAGCTGCACTGAAGGCATTGATGAAAAACAAAGCTCCAGGAATTGACAGAGTACAAATGAAATGTTACAACAAACTGATGCAATGCTGGAGGCTCTTACTCGACTATGTCAAGAAACTTGGAAGACAGCTAGCTACCTGGCCAACTGATTGGAAGAGATCCAGATTTGTACCTATTCCAAAGAAAGGTGACCCATCAGAAAGCGGAAAGCATCAGTAATACCATTAATATTATGTGCAAGGAAAATTTTGCTGACGATAATTCAGAAAAGATTGCTATAATACATCAACAGAAATTCCAGCCGGGTTTAGAAGAGGGTACGGAGTGAAGGATCTTATCACTGACATCAGGTGGATCTTGTCTGAAAGCAGAGAATACAAGAAAAACATTTACTTGTGCTAGCTATATTGTCTATGCAAAACTATTCGACTGTGTGGGTTGTAACAAACTATGGATAACATTACAAAGACTGAGAATTCCAAAATACTTAATTGTACTCATAAGGAACCTGTACATATACCAAGAGGCAGTTGTTCAAAAAGAAAAAGGGGACACGGAATGGTTTAAAATAAGTAAAGATGTGCACAAGGGTTGTAACCTTTCACTTACTCAGTCTATATGCTGAGCAAATAATCCTAGAAGCTGGATTATATATGAATAAGAATTTGGCATCATGATTAAAGGAAGACTCACTAAAAACCCACGATATGCAGATGGCATAGCTTTGCTTGCTGAAAGCAAGGACTTGATATATTTTCTGATAAAGATCAAAGGCTGCAGACTTCAATATGGATTGTATCTCAATGTAAAAAAAAAAAAAATCCACATAATTAGACCAATAAATAGCATCATGATAAATGAAAAGATTGAGGTCATCGTAAACTTCATTTTGCTTGAATCCACAATTAATATCATGGAAGTAACAGTCAAGAAATCAAATGACATTGCATTAGGCACAGTTGCTACAAAAGACTTCTTTAAAGTGTTGAAGAGCAAAAGTATCAGTTTGATGTATAAGGAGCATCTGATTCAAACCATGGTATTTTTGATAGCCTCATATATACGTAAGGTTGCTGTGGGTTGGAACTAATTCGCCAGCAACCTATGCATGTGGAAGTTAGTAAATAGGATGATCATAGAAGAAGAGATGGATTTGACTTAACAGTGTTGGTGGTGAATATAGAAACTACCATCTCTGCCAGACGAACAAAACAAATCTATATGGAAAGAAGTGCAACCAGAGTTCTCCTTAGAAGCGAGAATGGCAAGACTTCATCTCTTGTACTTTGGATATGTTGTCAGGAGGGATCAATCATTCTTTGGATTAGGTAGTGGTAAAGTGGAGGGTCAATAACAAAGAGGAAGATACACAACTAGATGGATTGACACAGTGGTAGCAACAATGGATACAGACATATAGTTGTGAGAACGGTGCAGGGACCAGTGATTTGTTCTGTTGTGCATAACGTTGTGATGAGTCAGAACTGACTTGACGGCACCTAACAACAATTCAGCCTCTTTCTTTGTTATAGGTCCTTTCAGATTTTCTATGTCTTCTTAAGTCAGTTTTGATCATTTGTATCTTTCTAGGAATTTTTCCATTTTGTTTAAGTTATATTACGCGTTTGCATATAATGGTTCATGTTGGTTGGTTGGTTGGTTATGTGCCGTGGAGTCGGTTCCAACTAATAGCGACCCTGCACAGGGTTTCCGAGGCTGTTAATCTTTACGGGAGCAGAAAGCCTCATCTTTCTCCCACAGAACAGCTGGTAGTTTCAAACTGCTGACTTTAAGGTTCGCAGCCCGATTCGTAACCACTACGCTACCAGAGCTCCTTATAATTGTTCATAGTGTTAGATTGTTAGGAATGACGTTGTATTTTAGATACTAGCCAGTATGAGTCTGTGTTGGTTTTTTTGTTAGTCTAACTAAATAATTAACTTTATTGAACCTTCCAAAGAATCACAACATATACACACGCATATTTGTTTGTATAAATATCCCTCTCTCCTTATTCCCCAGTCTCTTTTTAATGCATACATAACACACACACCCCTACACCTTCAATTCCAATATCAGTTCAACAGCACAGGGTTCATTTTGGTATTTCCCTTTGCAAATTTGTAACTCCTTTCTCTGACAATTAGAAATATGGATCCCATTATCTTCAACACATTTACTTATTTGCTTAAGTCTCTGTATAAAAGCAATCTCCTAACCTTTGTCAAGCCACCACTGTGCTTGATCAGCCTTATGCAGGCTGCATGCAGTCCATCAGTTTTCATATTTTACTATCTCTGAAATCAGATGCATCTTATAATTGATGGTATGTCATAAAGTTTTATTGGCACAATTAATTAATTCTTGATGGTACCTGAAATGATGGTTACAATCAATGGCATCTTAGATTTGTGGAGTTTGGGTATTTTAAATATCTACTTGCCTAGAGTTAGTGAAGGTAAGTAAATTTGATTTATGTGTTTGTGTAACTGAATCATATCTATAGTGAGTTTTATTAATTTTCGATAATTGAGAAGAAATTCTTCTGTGATTGATAATTTCTGAGTTGTAAGTTTTCTGTGAAGGACATACTTATTTGTTGTATTTTCGCATAATCAGATCAGTAATTGTATTATCTGCCAGCTATGATAAGCATTTTAGCATATTAGAGACCCAATTTTGGATCTTTTTAAGAAATATGTAGATACACTATTTCAAAGCACTCTTATATTCTAATGGGATTTTGTTGATAATTAATAATTTAATAACTTTGAGTATTAAAATGTATTTCAGTCACATCTGACAACTAACTGGTAATTCTTCATGAGTTTGTTCTATTGATACACTTTTATTGATTGTTATTTATATTTCTGTCTTTTAAATACATATCCTCCAAAACCTTGCTGTTAAGAGTATATAATATGTTTTTGTTGGCCGTCATCTTTTATACTAGCTTATAAAAATGAGATATTTATTTTATTGGTAGGATCTTCGAAATCAGCTCTATGAATCCTATTATTTAAATTTTATTTCTGCTATTTCAAGAAGTAAACTGGAAGATATTGCAAATGCAGCATTAGCAGCTAGTGCAGTGACACAAGTAACCAAGGTAAGAGCTTTTGTTTGCTAACATTCTGCTAATGTTCTCAAATTTAGTTGTCTTTTGAGACCTGCTAATGCAGAGTCACTGTACCAAAAGGAAATGGTTCATGTTCAACCATTTCAAGAGGTAGTGTATTATCAAGGGCTAGTGATACTGAAGGAAGAAGTCCAAG